TGTTTTCGGTTTTTTGAGACAGGGTCTTATTAACTTGCTGAGCCTGGTTTAAGCTTGTGATCCACCTGCCTCAGCCTCTGAGTGCGAGGAATACAGGCATCTACTACTACAACTGGCTCATCCCGAACTTCTTAAACTTAACATCTATACAGTCTGTTGCTGTCACTTGAATTTGGTGGAACTGCCTCTTTGGAATATTTCCACATGAACTGGTCTCTGCTTATCAAATGAGAGGTATTCACTGAAACCCGGTATCTTTTCAGCTACATTTTTTTTCTCCCCTCCAGCATAAACTTGAATGGGATTTGCAGCAGAGGGAAGAAGAGATTGCTGAATTGCAGAAAGCACTAAGTGATATGCAGGTCTGCCTTTTCCAGGAACGGGAACACGTTTTACGCCTCTACTCAGAAAATGACCGTCTGAGAATCAGGTATTAAGTAGGAGAAGGAAAATGTTGGAGTTATAACTCTAAATTGCATTGAACATGATAAACTTATATCCAGTTGTCCTCAGAGGTTGTGTTCCCCATGGAACAGCCTCTGAGATGAAGAAGATGGCCTGCGGGACAGTTACAGGGGCGGCTCTCTGGAGAAACACCTGTGAGAAGAGTTTTGGGGCATAAGCACCTATGAGAGAGTTTGGACGGTGGTACAGTGGTAAGAGAAGCTTCAGCCAGCTCCGCGGGGAGCTCTAAGGTTAGCGCCTTCCAGAGGCAAAGGATTCAGACCTTTGTAGCCCCACACTGATAGTCATTGGCTGCAGAATGCTTTCGGGAAGGGTGTAAGCGTGAATGGGATAGTTCGCTGCCTTCAGCCACACTGCAGTTTTGGGAGGGGGATTCAGTGCCTGGGAGATGGGTGTCTTGATGCTAAAGGGTGCATCTGAGCGATGTGCTGCAGCGCCATTCTGTGTGAATGAGAGAAAAATGCAAGGAACTTTCCGTGTTAACCTTCAAGTGTGCACAGGTCAGTGGCATTACAGCGACACATCCACACTAAGAATTTTCGCATATTTCCACATAGATTTGGTGACTGTTAAACAAGTCCCCATATCTTGTATTCCACTTCCTGTCTCTGTGGGTTTTGTTTTTGTTTTTGTTTTTGTTTTGCGGAACCAGGGATTGAACTCAGATCCTTGTGCTTGCCAGGGAAGTGCTTATTCCACTGAGCCATCTCCCCAGCCCTGTTTTGAACTTAGAACCTTGTGCTTGC